CCCCCCCCCCCCCCCCATCTTATTAATTTCATAACCCAGTTAACCCTAAGTGAGACACATTTGTGCTTGTAATGTAAAGGTTACTTGTCAACAGTACCTACTGGGATAGTTTGACAACAACTGTTTTTTCCACACAATTGTGTCAACAATAGCGACACACTAAAGGTATCACACTTCATACATATCTGCAGAGAAGAGGCGAAGAAACATTTCGTCTTTGATTTTAAATAAACCTTCAACAAAATCCATGGTGCGTAATTAACAAAACTAACTAACAAAGTTAACCGTAAATATCTCTTAACACTAAGTTAATGTAGAGCCGAGAGTGGCCTAGTGGTTAGCGTGTTCGGACAGAGAATCCGAAGGTTGACAGTTTACATCTTGTTGCCAAACTTTGGGGCCGTGGGTACACTTTCAAAGTGACGGTCAGACGAGAGTAGCTGTAGAGTTGGTGATGCTTTACCTCTAGTTTATCAGTTCAAAATTAGGGACGTGTGGACGACTATGTGAAAATAAATCTTTGCTCAGAAATTCTGAAACAAACTCTTAACATATACGTATGGTGTCTTGAAAAATATACAGCATTGATACTGCTATTAACATTACTAATACTAATGAATTTTTTTAAATTATTCAAGCTGTTTAAAATAATAACAAAATAAACGTTAAGCCAAATCTATCATTCGATTCGCTACTTCAGTACTAGTCACTGAGTTATACCGATTAACTCTTAACAATACCAATTACAACTTACACCAAAATTCAAATTAGTATAAGTTACGATATAGAGAATAAACTAAAAATATTTTCAAAGTATTTCGTTCCATAACGTAAACAAAAGTAACAGCGTTTCACGAGTAGCGGAGTAACACTAACAATTTTGTTTTATTTTCCCGTGCATCTCTCTCTTAATTTCGAAAGCGTACAGTCTTACTGTGCATCCTATATTATGTTAACTATATATCTGTTTGTTTTAAAAGCTCCTGTTATGTTTAATGAAAATCTGCGCTTAGTGTTGAACTTTAGGAGGCCTTACCTGTATTTACAACCAGCAAGTTGACGAAACTGCACAGCACCCATTTCGAACTCATTATTATTTTTCCAAAAATATTTTTGTTTGAATTTCTTAGACCACCGAAATAATTTAGTAGAATCAACTTTACTAAGATTTAACTTAGCTTAAAAAAATTACAGACAAGACTTGCATTAATTATTCTATTCAACGGCGTTAATTTTCGATCAAAGAAAGTTACTTGTCTATATCTATTTGCACTAGAGCAAACAACCGCGGACAAATACCATAATTTACAACTGAGCTTCGCATCTCCACTCAACGGCGTTCACCATGGTTTAGCCAATCAGCGTACGGAAATGACGTCCACAGGTGTTCGAATTGCAGAAAAGTATTTGGTCAAACCTATTATCATGAGGGTAGGAAAGTAAAAAATGGGCATATTTACCTTCATTTTCCAACGGTCAACATACCGGTATCTAACGTGTATTTTGTCAAACATTCACGCTTACACACATTACTCCAATGTTGAAATTTTTTTCTAATTTTCAATAGCAAGTTGGCAAACAACGATATATAAGCATAATAAAAATTATTTTATGTACGCAACTACGTGCTTCAACAAAACATTGGTTTGTCTTCTTAAGAAGGTACACCAATGTTCTATTAGAGTATATGGTGTGTTCTCTTCATAAAATAATTTTCGTTATGCTTATAAATCATTGTTTGTCAACTTACTGTTGTATTAGCATGTGCTTCAATACATATTGTTTGTTTGTTTGTTTGTTTTTGAATTTCGCGCAAAGCTACACGAGGGCTATCTGCGCTAGCCGCCCCTAATTTAGCAGTGTAAGACTAGAGGGAAGGCAGCTAGTCATCACCACCCACCGCCAACTCTTGGGATACTCTTTTACCAACGAATAGTGGGATTGACCGTCACATTATAACACCCCCACGGCTGAAAGGG